TTTACAGATTTCTTCGTTACATAATACCTTGTTACTAACACCTATGACTTAATTGATCTTGAATTCCGTAATTATTTTCACCTCTCCTTCAAAATTCAGATTTCTTGTTAATAACATCTACTAGTTCATCGTTTTGATGACTTTTATTATCTTAATTTCACTCAATCCCATCCCCGTCGACTACACCTAAAACTGATAATGCTTATGGACTAAAACAATCATATGAGTGGTACCGTTTTGATGTAAACAAAATTACATATTAGTATAGAGTCGATGTTGAGAAACTAATTGAAAAGGAATATATTTCTACGCTCAATTTGTTGTTGTTTTCTAAATTTTCAAATAAGAATCTTCATATAATATTAGTATGTATTTCTAAGCATGCCTGTCAAATATGCAGTTACACCACTAAGCTAAATTATAAAGCGCTGCTTAATATTATGATGTTATGGAGTTCCGATATTATATAATATAGGTAAAGAACTCCTCACTTGCCAGTACTCACTAACAACATGGATTAGACAGGGTGTTTACAACTTTACTGTAATCAGTGGTAAATGAAGTCGAAATGAAGCTCCATCTGGTTACACCAACATCCTACTGACGGTTGCTAACATGCAAGATACTCAGGTTGAAGACATCTTGCCGACCGAACAGTTCTGATATGTATTCAATGTGTATTTGTATATGCATCATAAAGATCAACATAATAATACAGTCACTTTTCTTAACAAAAATACAACAACAAAAATTTAGCTTCCGCCGCCAAGAATTCTAGTAATTGGACCAACTGGTACTGGCAAATCATTACACAGTCGTCAAATCGCCTTGAACTTAAATCTTGTTCATATTGACTTTTCAAGTTTACTACAAGAAATTATATTTCCTAAATTTGGTCGAAAAATTGGTAAAGAATACGTGGATTTCGAGCCGGTACCTGACATTGTACTGCCACCGTAAGTGAACAGAAAAGTCAAACTTATTTTACCTTGGCTTTTGTATTTCTGTGTCATAAATATCCTGTAGGACTAAGTGAATTCTTGTGTAGTAAAATAAGGAAACAGAAGCTGTAAATAACACATTTGGAAACAATGGTAATTTGTAGAACATTGTGAAACATTTATCGACAGTATAGAAGGCTGAAGAATGAATCACAAATGAGAACTTCAAGTACTAGGGGATTTAAGCCACTGACATCCAGTTATTCACCATGATAATCTGTTTATTACTATACGAGATCTACTCATTCAAGGCTTTGCTGCAACGTTTAGACGTGAAAGGGAGAGGTTATACCGTCTCAACCAAAATCATGGCGACGTTGAATAACTGATCAGAATTCAGGTGCAAAAGGTCTCATAATCGTTTCTAAAAAATATATTAAAAAAGTTGTGAACATGATAGTAAACTGGATAATGGTCTCTAATGTGTTGTAGAAATGTCTTACAGTTTCTCCATTGATAATCCGCAGAGAAATCGCGCGACACCCGATACAAGTATTCATCAAGGTGAATGTAAATCATGTTACCTTAGTAATGCAGCTACCCTCACGGACCGATTTTCTCTTATAACATGAATAATATTTCTACTAGCATTTATTTGCCACAAGGCTGGAGTGCTTTACTGTCACAGCCTCCTGCAACACACACAACTCCTTGTTACTGCAATTAATCCGTTTTTGACACAGTAGTTAAATGCTAGATCTTCATGATACTCATTAACTCACTCCATAAAGGTAGGTGTGATTTCTATTTTTAACGACCTTCCGAAGCTTCTTATATGAATCTGATTGGTTCTTTTGGGTGAACTTTGATAGATCTTGATAGTTTAAGTTTGCCCAAAAAATACATGACATGTATTACCATCGTTTTAAATGGCTTATTTGGTTTATTGCTAGCCAACCACTTCAAATTCTACTGGAACACAGATTTTCCTTTTAATTGCGATCGTAATCCAATTAGAAAAACCAAAGGGTGACTTGGAGGAGGTCATGTGAAGAGGAGATGAAAACGTGTGGGCAGACTTGGAGCCAGGTGAAGACTCTAGCAGAGAACAGAACGCAATGGAGACGCACGGCTGAAGCCCTATGTTCCTGTAGGAATTAAAGGATACAATAATAACAATAATAATAAGTTAGAATTTAATTATCTGTTTTTTCATTTTATTAAAATCCCCCAATTATTTCCCAAATTATTTATAAATAGGCTGTGAACTTATTTTGCAATTTTCACTTATTTGTGCCTCACTTTCTATTTAGTTTGCTGTATAATAGTTGTAAGGAGATTTGGGGCGTTGGTTTAGGTAACCTACTTTCAACTAGAGGGTGCTGAATTTGAATCATGTGCCTTCCACTTCAGCTTCGAAAGCTGTTCAGTATCAGCAGTTCCAACACAATAATGCGAATAATGCTTGTAACCTAATTGGCGCAAATGAACTGTAACAAATCGGCTGTTTACAAGTGAATTGACTACATGGGAAGGTTTATTTCACAACAACATCATGTTCATTGAAATTAACGAAAGTGTTAAGAAAACGGGCATCATGGATACACTTCAGTATCAAACAGATCAGGCAGAAACTTTATTTTACTGATAAACAACTACTTGTGTATTACTTGAATTTTCATGCTAAAATTGATGAAGCAGTTTTTATTATACGACATGCATCCAGTGAAAGTGGATTACGAAAGCTGTCATTTAGTGAAAACAATAAATATCAAGTTCACTGGCAGTAAATTCAAGCAGTATAACATGTTCCTTGTCACCAACCCTTTTGAAAATTGTACTACTTTCATTTTTTCCTCTGATAGTCTCGAAGAACCAACTGATGAGGTTGAAGAAGGCCAGGTTAAGCTACAAAGTCAAGAAACAGATAGATTCAATACAAAAGCAGACAATGCATCCAAAGAAAATGAATCAGAACAACCACCTGTACTAGATGAACATGAAACAAATATTTCAGAATACCTGTTAAATTCAACACAAATACCGAATGAAACTTTGGAATGGTTACTGGGCAAACTTTGGAAACAAGAACCTTATAAATCTATAGGCTTCATACTGGATGGCTTTCCACAGACTACTGAAGACTTACAATTTTTAATTACATCGAATTATTTCTTTGATTGTGCTTTATTTTTAAATACTGAAGTTGATGAAGTTGTCTCTAGACTATTGCCGCCTAGACTAGAAGCCTGGCGTAAACGAATGGCAAAAAAGGCTGAGAATGCGAGTAAATTAAAAGAATGGAAAGCTGCAAAAAAGGTTTGTCATATGAGAAATGGCGTATTTTCTGTTTTACACTAATTTACCTAGACTAGTACAACAGCATAAAGTTTCTTGTTTTTTCTACGGAAGTTTAATAACTAATGCCAACTTACTTCCAAGTAGCATGAGACCAAAACATATTATTGAATAATACTATAAACTGAAAGGACTTGAATGGAGGAAAATTGCATATGTGCAATTGGACAGTTGGTTCGTCCTATTTTGGGACTTGGTGGATCTCAGTGATTATGACTTCGCACTACACATCCAAGTAACTTTCTGTAAATGGCTAGTCACTAACCAGCATCCTATTGATTACCAAGTGTTGGTTTTCAGGGACTTCATTGATTACAGGTTTTATCACAAGCCATATATCGTAAGTTGTCAGAAGTTGGAATTTATGGGCCATTGTATTGGGTGCCAGTAACTGAATGGACTACAAGCTTGTCTTGTAACAGGAAGGTTCTATGTTCGAACTCCGGTTGGCACGTACTGTAGAAGGGTACCAAAATAGGATGAAACAGGTGTTCAATACCCCGAATAGTTCTCTAACTGATATCAGCACGTGACCAAACCTGTAACCAATGAAATACCTGTTTGCTAACATTGGAAAACATCTGTTATCGAACTAATTATAAGGCATTTAATGTAGACTTTTCAATCATTTTATTTCAATCAATTGCTTCTTTGACTGGGAATAATATCCATTGACACTTAAATGGTATCATAGCACACCTATTGCCTACCCTTTCATATGGCGTATCACACCTTTTTCCCGAGGTATCTGATAATACAGTATTGCTCAGCTCAGTTTTTCTTCTTACTTTGCCTTTTAAGCATGATTACATTCGCTGTTGAATAATACTCCTTGCTCCTGTATGCAGATGGGCGGAAGTTTAAAAGGTGATCGGTTATTAAATCTATGAAAAGACGAACCTAGGCAGTTGCCATTGCAATTAAGTTGTTGTTAAAGTCTACCAATCATGACACCAGTGAAATAATCAATACGCATACATACACCAGTAGTAATATGAGATTTTATCAAATGTAAATTGTAAACCACTATCTACAAAAAGAACAGAAGAATCTACTGAATTTCGAGGCCACTATTTCGATCACATGCACAACATTCAATCGCATCACCAATAAATTTACTAGAATGAAATATGGCTGACTAATAGTAGTAGATTAGGTGAAGTCTAAGTGAACTAGAGACCGAAGAGTATTTGTCTATCTTGAGGTAATATGAATATAATCGATAAAAGTCTGTTACTGCTGGTTAACATTGTGTACATTATTCAAGAAATCCCGTTATTTGCTGATCAGTTTTCTGACCACCGATGTAAAGGCATATCAAATGATAGGTTAAACAATGAATGTTACTCGTTCGTTGAGTAGTATATAACTTTTATTAAATAAAGATTTAAAGCAAAACAAAAATGAAATTAATTTAATCCCTCCAACAATGTTTACTGTTCTTACTGTAAATATCAAAGAACAAAGAACGTGATCTTCGCCTATCTAATGTGTCGTAATTCCAGCTAGCTAAAGCCACCACTACTGAAGTATGCCTAACCGTTTAACCGAAAGATTCATGTTATTCTGATGGTCCCACTGATAACTTAAAGGAGCTATTCGCCTCATTTTTAGGTGTGTTCTTATATTTCTTACACATATATTTAAGTAAATAATTGAGCTTTCAGTAAAAAAGACAACCTTCTTCTTTTTTTCTCCTAGAAATTAGCAATGGAAAAAAGACGAACAGAAATTCTGAAGGAGTTGCAAGAGAAAAGGGAAAATGCAAGGGTAAGATACATTCTGGTGACCAAAAGACAAAATTCACTAATCTATTCATGTGGTCTTCATAAAAAGTCAAGTCACAACTTTAACGAAAAGTGTCTCCTCGGTTACATTCACTGTGGGACATAGTCTAATGTATACGAGTGAAACCAGAGTAATCACTCTTCCGGCATCTTCTTTTCCTCATAACACCCCTCAAAGTTTATAAAGATGGTATATCTGTTCGTAGTATCGTATTAAGTATTGAGATGCTAAAGTGAAAACTGATTACCCCCTGGAATTAAAACTTTTTCACTGGAGTTGTAAAGGCCGGCATAGTTGTAGTCTTATATGCTTTGCTTAAAGAGAAAAAAAAATGCTTCTTTATTAGATAATGAACATGATAAATTCACAATTCGTTGGTTAACTTACAATTTGCAATTTACATTGTTCAATACACTTTCCTCTAAAAAGTGAAATCATTTGGAACATTTATTATTTATCATAATCATTTATTCCATACTTTCCTAGTGGACCACAGAGCTTCAGTAGCACCAACTATCCAATCTGCGCTGATACCTGACATCTTTTTTTAAAGTTAACTACATGACTGTCAATAAACTTTTATTTCCCCTTTACACGAAATTGTTCATATCACCCTTGGACATACGGCCAACTCGTCGTTCCTCAGTTGATGAGTTCCACTCAGCAGCCTGATGTGTAACGTCACTTGAACGTGTTATTTTACAACAGTTTGTAACAGCTGATTAGCTGTCACACTCCATTGTTGCTTACAAATCTTTCCCAACCAGTTGGTCATCTGATCTGCAGTATTGAGCCAACAAATGTGATTATGAAAATCTATAGTAGGCTGTTGGAAATGCTTCTGATAACGTGAACATGACAAGTCTGTGGAGCATATAAAAGTAATGACTTGACATTAGTGTTAAAAACACAGGTCTTGTTCCTTGTCCTAAGTGTTGTAGACCTCCACACTGATTCTAAAGTAGTGAATGCTTATCTTTCTTTGTGGATTCGATCCTGCCTGGCTTCCCTAGACAATCTCATCTGTGTCACATTTAGTTGAAATTAGGCTGGTGACAGAAGTGAGGGAGACAACTTTCGCTTAGATTTCTTCTGATGATATTGATAGGTGCACAGAAGTATATTGTATGGAAATTCAGGCAGTCCAGTTATTTAAGCATGCCACCGTGTGTTCACTACTGGTTAGATTTGAAGGACATTTCACACCAAATAAAGAAAATAATTTTGACAGGTTATTTTCTTTATTTATGTCGTGAATTATACATAAGCTGGTTGGCTATATCAGTGTTTTACAATAATTCAACTAATTTTCAAGTATTGGTTTGGTAGGGATTTTGTTTAATTGCATGGAGGATTTCATCATGAGCTGACATCAGTCAGAGAACCACTGGAAAACCTGGGAGTACTGGACAGCTGTTTCGTCCTAGTTTGGGACTCTTCAGAAGTACGCGCCCGCCGGGATTCGAACCCGGTTCTCTAACTGGTATCAGCTCAATGAAATCCTCCATGCAATTCAACTAATCTTAGAATAGATTTCATTACAAAAGTGAAAAATCAATAAAAATGAAGCAAACTAAATGGGTATTTAGTGTTAGTCTTACACTTTCGGCTTTAACAAATCCACTTATCCGAAGTGGATCGGATCTAAAGTTCCAAGGTAAATAAGTTACTAGTGAATCGTTTCTTCTGCTACAGACAATTGATGTTATGATAGGAATACATGATGACACGGAGTATGTCAGTTCAATAAAAACCATCGAAAGGGAATTCAAACGTTTCCACAGACGATAACTGATACCAAATAAGCAGGAGGGGTACTGCCATAGTTTATTAGCCTACTGGATAATGCTTAACGTGTAAGACTATTGGTATTGATTTCAAGTCTCAGTGGGAACAATGTCAATCGCTTGAATACAGTTGGCGAGTCCTAAATCTGATAGGATATGCGTCCTCAGTCCATCTGCTGACCATCAGTAGTAGTTCATTAGAACACTTACACGGTGCTGGTTTTTAATTAGTGGTTTATAAATTATCACAGACCATTTCACTGATGATCATCCAAACCATTTTCGTTCACCTTTAATCCGGTCTGTAGATGAAAGAAAGCACTGAAGACGGTGACACTGAAGAAGATGAAGAGTTGGAGGATGAAGTGAATATTGACGAAATGTTGGCAGAAGAATTTGCGGTCAGTTTACCCTACTTATATAATTGCTGTTTTGATATATTGGTATATGTATGATCGTGTTGCAGTTTTTGTAAAATCTATCTTTTCATACTTCAAACCTAAATAAAATATACTTCAGCCATTTGCTATATTGAGATCATAAGTTTAATAAGCTACTAGCTAACCGTTTATTCGTTATTCCAGGCTTTTATATGGTTTATATATGTCCAAACCAAATTCACTTTTAACAGTTTGAAAAAAGTTTGGGCACTGGGTATATGATATTCATTATAATAAAGGTTTTTTGTATTTTCTAATGAATGAATAGGAATGATGGACTAAAACAGAATCTGACCTGGTTACAACACCTCCCTTCCCGTGAAATGACAAAATCAACATGAATGTGATAAGCAATTTCATTATGTAAACACACATGCTGCTTTTATAATTTTACACACTTATCAAATCCAACAGTCTACACCTAGTTTTGTTATCTTTACCGACTGCCCAATTCGACAACATAAAAATGACCCCATGCTGAGGAACGATGATAAAGTTGTAGTATATAAGCTTAGATTTTGTAAATTCTGGTTTAACAATACTTTGGTAAAGCGAATAGCATTAAATAGGGAAAAGCCAGTAAAACCAGTATCGTTTTGTTTTTCATTCACTGGGAAATACAAAAACCTTTATAATACTGTACTGACGTCTATTTCTATACAAACATGTAACAAAATCATTAAAAACCAAGGAGCACTGCACAGCTCTTTTGTCCTAGTTTAGGAGTCATCAGAAGTATTCAGCGAGTTCTGCTCTTAACTGATATTGCTTTGTTGGTAATGAGATGATTATTGGGAGTAAGCCTTCAACTTATTCTTTTCATTTGATTTGTTTTGGTAAAAATAGAAAACAGCTGTTCCACCAGCACTATGTGATTGGTTTTTAAATGAGAAAATAAAGAAGATGAACAAGTCTCAGTTAGATTAATTGTCTGTGAATATTAAAAACCTTGACTCAGGATCAACTTAAGGCTAATATTCATTAACTTAGCTGGGAGGGAACATGGGAAAACTTCGACTTTTTTTTTCATAACACTTACGAAACGATGTTCTTTTATATTTGTGTTAAGTCAGTTGAAGTGACGGAATCAAGTGAGTCTGAACTGATGGAGGTGTAATTCCCTCTAGTTCGTAGGAGCTCGTGCTTGCTTGTCCAATGCTCATGGTTGCACATTTTGCCACATTTATCGGGAGCATCCATTCTATGGACCACTCTGACAATTTGTTGAGGTCCTCTTGCAACGTGGACGTGTCACTGTTGCCCTTCAGCTCTCTCCAAATTTTTAAGTCATCTGCGTATAGGACCATAGGGGAATCGGTGAGCAGAGATAACTCATTGATATACAAAATAAATAGGAGAGGTGCCTTGTGGCACTTCACAAGCAGAAACCGTGAAGTTCACAATTGAAACAGTAGACAGCAGACTTCAGGTGAATATAGAGAAGACTCAACTCAACCGCAACAACAAACACCAGTCTGTATAACCAATGGGAGAAATCTGACGAAAGCCACCTCTTACACTTAGCTGGATAGCATCATTTCAATTATAGACAGCACAATGGATGAAAATGTTTAGACCGGCTAGTCAGGTACACATTAAGAAAAGTAGAGAGGAATTTATTACTCATGAAAACCTACAGCATCCAATTATCACAAGGAATAACACCCGAATTTTCGACACCAATATGAATTTAGTGATACTATATGCTTCAGCAATTTGGCGCACGGGTCGCTGAAAGTGTTTTCAGCAGCCTGCTGCATATTTCATTAACAGATATCTATATTAGCTTGATACTGAAGATTAGACTGACAACTGGTCGGGAAGAATTAGGTGGAGATGGGATAATCAGTGGTTTGGTTGTGGGTCTGAGGGGAGTGCAGAGGGGATGATTTCAAGTGGAAATGAAATCTTGTTGGCCTCTGTGAATTTAATCAAAAGTAGCGGCAAAGAATTGATCGCGATGAAGGTTTTTTTGTTATTCCACTTAAAAAGCAAAGAAGGAATAATAATAACAGTATTAATGACTGATTTCGGCAGCATATGCCATCACGCTCTATTGCTTATTTTTTTCTTGACTGTTGCTTATGTTACCAAGCAGATCACATGACATGATGTAAATATTTATTTGGTTTCCTTTGGATACCAAGAAGTTATCTGTTAAATGCATTAAATAATAACATTCATAATTCTTGAAGTAATATCACATTCCTTAAAGTTGTAGATATTTCTCTTAATGAAATGTTAGAAAGCATAGAATTACATGAATGACTCTATATTTCCTTAGTTTTATGAAATGAACACTAACGCTTGACAGTTACTCGACTGATAGTTGGTTGCTAGGAGTAGACTCGTCAGCTGAATCTATCTTCATCACAGTAAGTAATGAAATTCCTACTGAGATTTGAACACAGCAAACATCGATTCAAATACCAGAACATTATCCAGTAAGCTAGTGAGCCAGGAGATTCACCTCATGTACAACATTCCCATGAAACCGACCAACAAGGCGTTCCAATAAATACCACTTGACGGAGGAAATTGTAGCTAAGGTGGATGATTTTAATTTCGTTGTGTTCCATGAGCCAGGTGGTTTAATTCTGAAGCTTTCATTGTCTCTCTGGGTAAACGTTTTGGCGCTTTTTTTCAACTGTTTTGTAATGTGCGACATCTTTATTGGTTGACAGATGTAATCTTTGTTGATATGGATGTTAACGGAAGATTGATTTGAATACCATGCTTTCACGTATTCAGCGGTGTTTGTAACAGCTCCGCTGTTAACTAAAGTCTATTCATTTTCTGATAAAATCTTGAAGGTATCTATTTTCCTCTAAACCAGTTATTAGGCAATTCTCTTCAGTTTTGTTCAGGAGACGTTACAGAAACCAAATTAATTAATGATTATGGACAAATAGTCGAATTCCAGGTCAGTGAAACGATGAATACTAGTGCAGCTGCACAATTCACACAGAATTAAGAAAACCTCACATCGCATTGAAGAAAGCTCTGAAGATGTTGTCTAGACAGACAAGAGAAGATTCACAAATAAACCGTCCGGCCTAGCGAACACATGCTTTCAGCCACGTGGCAGGTCCGTTTTCAATGCCAGGACATCAAACTCATAAACCTTGTCCAGTCTACTAACTGATAGTAAAGCACGAAAAGAGGGAGGGTTTGATGTGTGATGAGCGATCCCATCCAGTGAAAAATGACATCACCACAACTAAAACTTCAAACCTCTAATCTTGAAGGCCTATGCTCGAATTTAAATTCAGGTAAAGAGAAAAAGACGATTTAATTATCGATCACCAGTATGGATTTAATAAGAAGAGTTAATAAGGCGTTGTTCACATACATATTATTTAAAACACTTGCATTTCTTTCTGTATGAAGACTATATATTTTTGAAATTCTTAATATAATAAGGATTATAAAGTATAGAAAAAACACAACATAAACAGTCTTTATTTTTCTTGTATAGCTAAAGGCAATACTGGAATTTATGCCTACTGAACGTGTTTAAATGGATTTTTATTCTCATTTTTGTGAAATGTTTTTTTAAAAATACAAGACAGTGCCACATTCTATTTCGTGGTGTAGAGAATAAATCGTTTTGAAAAAAGCAAACAAGACTGATAGAAAGAAAACAACGGAAAGAACACAGACAATTATAGAAAAATAAATGAATAAACTAAATAATGAGTACAAAATTGTTTGTACACTAGTAAATCCCCCATTAATTTTTACAAAAGAATTTTATTTGTAATCTGTATAAATAGTGTCTGTCTGAACGAATGTGAAGTTTATGGTTTGTATACCAGACCACTATATCAGATAACCAAGTCCATATCTAATAAAAGATCGATTCAGGTGTAACCTAAAGAAGATGGTCAAGGGAACCCAGTTACCAAGGCGGAGAGACAAATGAAATAATCGGCTGATCACTTCGCAAGACTCCTGAATCGGCCATCGTCGCCTGCAACTCGTCCAGAAATACCACCGACAATAGGCATAGAATTGCTTTCTAGTGGGCACCTGTCCCTCCAAAAAGCGGAAATCTTGGATGCAATCATCCTAAGAAGTCCGGGAAGGCAGCAAGATCAGACGGAATTTCCCCCCCCCCCACTCTTAAAACACTTAAAACGGACCCAGAAACTGAGGAAGATGTTCTCACGCCATTATTGTAAAAGGTTTGGAAGGAAGGAATTGTGCCTACTGACTGAAAGAAAGGCTACCTTGTAAGGCTACCAAAGAAGGGCAACTTACGCCTATGCAAGAACTGGCATGTAATAATGCTTTTGTCCATGGCAAATAAAATACTAATTCGCATCATCCTGGAGAGAATAAAGGATGCAGTGGATACAGAACTTCGCCCAAATAACCAGGATAGGCTGGATTTAGGAGAGGTAAATCATGGGCTGATCGAATCGCAGCTCCACGCATCGTCATCAAACCTCTACCTCGACTTCATCGACTTTGGAAAAGCACTTGACGGCGTTGAACGGCGTGCTCCACTTCTTTATCAACCTCATTCAACTGCTGGCTATTTGAAAATGCCGCATGTCAGGTGATCCACAACGGGAAACTCAGTGAGGCGTTCGAAGTGAAGACGTGAAGGAGCAAGACAAGGCTGCCTATTATCACCTATCATATTCCTAATTGTGGTGGACTGGATTATGCAGCACACTGTATTTAGGGAGTGAGAAGACAAGCTTACGCTGGACCACCGGTAAGAAGACTTAGAATATCTAGATTCTGCAGATGACATATGTCTAATGTCACACAAACTCGAAGACTTGCAGGCGAAAGCCAACACACTGGCTGATGAGGTTAGCAGTGAAGACATGACTCCAGATGGACATAGAGTAGACAGAAGTGATGAAAGTAACCAACGAACAGCAGCAATACCCAGTACCAGTTACAATAAGCAAGAAATATTTGATAGAGTTTACATTTTTCACTTATCTGGGAAGCATCGTTTCAGCCACAGGAATTCGGGACGGATGAAGGTGTCAAAGTCAGACTGGGAAAGGCAAGATACGCCTTCATCAACCTGAAAGGAGTTTGGAAATCTTCTGCAATCAGCATAAGGAACAAGATTCGCATTTTCAGCACGAATGTCAAGTTATTCGCCCTGTATGAGTCAGACACATAGCTGGCGCATCATGAGAGGCATTTCTAACAGGTTAGGGAATAACTTTATCAAGAGCCGCCTTCGGCGGCTCCATACTGAAGATCGAATGGCCAGCTGGTCAGAAAGAATGAGTTACTAGAAACTCTGCCTGGGACCAACCAACCAAGAGCCGATCGCTCAACATATATGTAGGAGAAAATGGAGATGGAGACCATCGCATGATATCGTGCGCCAGGCTATCACTAGAGTAGAATCTAAATAGGGAGCAACAAGAGGGTTGTCCTAGGGTGACACGGAGGAGATCATGCGAGGTGAAGTTGACAGATTATGGTCAATCGTGGTCCCAGCTGAAGAGGATGGCAGAAAATAGAAGAAACTGGAGATGTGTTGTTGAAGTCCTATGTTCCGCACGGAACCCAAGGGAACAATAATAATAATGCTAGATTGTAGTAAAATGTGTAAGGGTTCACAGCGACTGACAGCTACAAAGATTTTTGTTGTAAAACTAAAAAATGTCTTTTCCTGAGCTTCCGAACGATACATAGGACTTCAGTAGGAAATTTTTATTTTACATGGTCTTCTGTAGTCTCTTTAACCTTACTCCACGTTTGTCCATAGCTTTCTCCTTACACGATCTCATACATGTTATCGTCGATCACATGCTCAACTCGTTGATTTCCGTCCGGTTTCAACTCAAGGGCGTGTTAAGTGATGTTACTCAATGGTCTCCTAAATGTATGTCCAATCCATCTGCATTTGTTTCTGAAAATTTTTTGGAGTGATATATTCTTGGTTGGTTTATTATCGGAGTTCTTTGTTGCTAATTTTTTCTGGCCATCTGACTTTCAGTATCGTGTCAACGATGGCACCTTTTGATAAAATTCTGCAGTAACCTGTTGAGAATGGTATACGTGGCGTGCGCTCCAAGTTTCTGAGGTATATAGAAGCCTTAAATAACTATACATTAGTATAGAAAATCCGGATCTTGTTTCTTATGCAGGGCGCAGAAGATTTCCACACTGATTTCGGAACGATGAAGGTATGCCATGCCTCTCCTATTCTGCCTTTGACATCCTCATCCGGCCCACCTATAGTTGAGACGATGTCTCCCAAATAAGTGGACGAAGTGAATTTCTTCAAATTTCTTAGTGATTATTTAGGCGTCCTAGGTACCTCTATCATATCCATTTTCACCTGAATATGTGTCTTCTCTATTTATGCTGTCAGCTTGTTGGTTTTTGCTGTGAATATTTGACTTTGTGTGACACTATACACAAATTGTGCTCACAATCCAGATCCTCTAGGGTCTCATGGTTGGTCTAACGTCCTTTTGCTTCCTATGGTCTTCTGCTTGATCCATTCCACCACAACCAGGAATATCACTGGTGATAGTAGGTGGCCTTGTCTTACTCCTGTATTCACTTCAGGGGCTTCGTTGAAAATCCCTGTGAGTTTCGAAAAAACATTACAGGAATGGTTTGCTAACCACATTGAAGTGACTGATTTAAACATCTATCATACTGTTTCATTGAAATAAGAATAGGATTTGAGCACTGTGGCAGACTATAATTCCATTATCAATAAAATTCTATTTTGATAAAAGCACACGGTGTTATACAGTAATATTTACTGATGACCATGTTTCCAGCACAAAGTATTGCTCATAATCATATCAGGTTACTCACACAACTTTCTAACTTCTTTCATATAATTCCATTATCTATCATCTCTTGATTTGATTGGTGGTAGTGTTTTCCATATCTCTAGTATTGATTATGAGTCATTCATTCTGCATGTGTTGGGTGTAGACTCGAAAAACAAAGATTCAGTATTAAACCTCTCTCTCCACCTGCCTATATTACTTTTTAGAATTCTAACCCTTTCCCCTCCCTATTGTTTGGTTGTGTGTTAATGCATTTAGTACATTTGCTGAGGGCTTTTTTCAAATTATTTATCTTCGTGGGGTCAATCATTCTGATGTTAGCTAAATTCTTATGTTCTGATAATCTGACTATCCCCGATTTACTGGTTTGACCTATTTATAGTTGACCTAATTCACATTCATTGCAAGGTATTTTGTAAATTATATTATTTTGTTTAATTGGGTCCACCGGATACTTTAGCCTACAGAGCTTGTCCCTTATTGATTTGGTAGGTTTATTTGCCACTCTAATTCCTGCTCTCTAAACAATCCTATGTAAGGTCTCAGATGTCCCCTCTTTATATGGTAGAACTGTAGATGCCTTATGTCCTTTCTTATTTATGTTACCATTACTAGTTACAACTGGTAATGATTATGAGCAGTAAATTGTGGTCGAAACGTGGTCATCAGTGAATACTGGTGTATGACACTGTAAGATTTCACTGCTTTTCTGGTTGTTGCTTGATTTTCTTCTATCTGAATATTCTTAGTTTCTGAAACAGAAAGCCAGCACGTGTTCGCAACATAAACTGTGTGATTCACGCTAACAATGAATTTCATTCGGCAACTGTTTATCTTTCTTTCTTTCTTTTACTTCTGAATAACACTTATGTAAACAAGTAATAACATGAATAGCATAACTATGAACAAACAAATAAATAAGTTAGCCATTCAGTCGGCACACTAAACATGTGACAAGTATAAACTTTACTACAGTGCAAATGATAAACAGTGAACTCTCTTATACAGTACATATAAGCATAACAGGAAAGCAAGTTTCAGTCATTCATTAAGTGCTAACGGGCCAATTCTTACTTAAAATGGATGCCATTTAGTGTTTTCTTAACTTATGATATTTGATCATAGAGGTTTCATTACACCATGTCTGATAACATCTTAAGCGCTAACCTCATTTCATAATTAAGGAGCCGATGAAAAAAGTATGTAAAATCTGGTGATGAGATGTAGTCGAACAAATGTTCATACCCTGTGAAGGTTAAACAACTTCATTCCTCTAGCTGAACAACAAAATCTTTCCTGTATCATTTCGGCTACCAGAAATATTGTCATGGAGAAGAGGGAGATTTCCAACAGTTCTTATAATCTTCGCCCAGTTCACAGTTTAACTTTCAGTATTCGATACATGAACAGAATGGGTATGAACATTGCATCCTGCTTTGCTTTAAAAAATAAAGAACTTCTGCTTTTGTTCTTTTTCTTCTTAACAGGAAGAAGAAGATGAAATGGATGCCGAGGAAGAAGAGACTGAAGCAGATGCCATTGAACGGTTAACTGAAGATATTACAGAAACATTCACAGAGGCTAATGATGTATTTGGAGAAATTGCTGAACAAATAGAAGAATTATCTATACCTAAATATGAAGTAGATTCTGGTGGAAGAGTAACATGGGCTCGTTATCGAGTTGTTAAAGTGAGCATTGACATTCACAGTAATAAATGGATCTCTGTATACAGGTGTTTTTTTACTAAACGTGGCTACTTGGGCAGATACATCTCTGTGCAATCCCCGATATCGATCTAATAGTCAGCTAGGTTTTAATCAAATTTATCTAATTATTAACAATGTATCTAAGTAATACTAGAAGAAATCAACTCACTCGATGCGTACCCTTAAGATCGCAGTTTTTTTTGACTTAATGCAGTTAACAAGAATACTTGACTGCTACTTCGTTGGTCTTAACTTCATTGATAAATGTCAGGAAGTATGACATAGTCTTTTAAAGCCCCATCTACAAAAATGCATACATTCAACGGAAATTGTGATTATTTTCTGCACTGGACGACCTCATGGAGTGAGATTTTATGAACGACATATTTTGAAAATCAGATTAAGATACGTATTTAATTGACAACTTTGCAATCTCTGAGTTTTATCTATGAATGTGTTGAAGATATATAATTTCCTTATTTTTATTTTCTCCACTAAGCCAGTTAGATAATGTTATTTAATTGAATTTTAGATTTTCCCATCGATTGGTTGGACCGAAGTGCTCGGTCTCAGGTTGACATGTCGGCTTCTTGTGCAGATGCTTCGACAATGTCTGGGCATGTATCTAGAATTTAATTGGTGGATGGTGACTGGGCACTGGGTTTGAGCCTCGGTGGGGACATCATCAGTCACTGGGGAATGCAGGTACATCCAGATGACGAATCCCGAATAGGACGAAATGCGCATCCTGGATTACACTGCTAGTCAACATCCACCAATTAAATTCAGTTAGATGCTGTTGGAAAGCGAGGAGCACTGGACAGCTGTTTCGTTCATGTTACTCTCTCTTCAGCACTACGTACCCTTGACCCCAAGGATTGAATCTGGTATACTTTGGTTACGGCGCCTATTTTTTGTTCATTCAATCACCTTAGTGGGGATTTTGTGATCCTTTATTTCTAACTTCTGTGGAATTAGGCTTTCCAGAATAAGTATCCAGAATCAAACAAGAAGCACACAGATTGTAGTAATGATCTTGTATTATTGGAATAATCCAAATTCAGACAGCCAGTCAATCACATAACAAACATCTGTATGTATATATCAAACACACGATGTACTTAGTTTTTATAATACTCCAGTGAACTCAGACCCCTCCCACACACGCACACACACATCCACTAATAGACGTACAATCAGTTATTGTTACATATACGGGAATAACCCAGCACGACTCATTGATTTATGAATGATTTCAATATGTGACTGTATGAATATTTAAAAATCAGCTCAGTGATGTATCACTATCGTCAACGAACACCTTCACAATGACCATCCACTTCACACTGATATGAAGGTCCACACCAGCCACGACTTTTCAGTACAGCTTCAGGCCAACCATACAATAACCACAAATGGCCTGGAGATCAACACTTAGATAATGGATTTTTGTAAGGATTTGGATGAAAAAGCTATTCAGTGCTCCCCAGATTTCCAGTGATCTCTAACCGATTTTGCTTAGTGACGAAATATACGCTGAAATTCATATGATCCTCTATAAAAAAGTCCATAATAAAGTCGTTCTTGTTAGTTGCCTAGTTGTCACATGTTAATAGGGTATGCATTTCTGGGCAAAATACTGCTGGAATGCAAGTAGATAGCAAATGTTGATAAAATCAGCGAACAGGATTTATCCTACCGGTTTCTGCTGTGTAGAAGAGTTTAGATTGTTTGACCAGTGAAATCGATAACTGAAATGAGGCGGTTTACAATAAACCATGGAGGCACACACTGCAGTGACATTCCTATCTTCCTTGTATTATAAAATTCCTTTTTGTATTTCCTCCAGATATTTTTCTTATATCTTCTGACTGTATGAAAACTTTATTTTCGTAGTTTTGTTACCTTCATGAAACTTGAACTGTAACTCAACAGTTTTAGGCACCTTGCTGATAATGTCTACATTATACTCGGAAATACGGTTATTCCTCCACTAGAAAGTCATAGCAGTATCAATATTTTTTAGTATTAATAAGGGAAGTTAAAATCCTGTCCCGATATCAGTCATAGAAAAAATATTCAAGGTCTCACAATTCCATAATTTGACACTTTTCCGCAGTGTACTGATATGAGCATAGAAAGTGTTGTTCTTAACACACCTGGGTCTCTTTGCATACATGTTACCTTGAAATACCTCAGCAGGTTGATGTCAACCGCTCACTGTTCTCCAACCGTTGTTGTTTGATCGTTGATGCTTTATCAAGCTTCCTAACATAGTTGATTCCACCTTCGTTAAGAAGAATACTGAACAAACTATGAACCATTCACTGTTCGACTATTGGGGTGTAATCAAATGACTTACGCTTGCAACGGCTAAACTGTCCAGTTGATGTAACTATGTAAGGGAAACTACTCTGAAAGTATCTTTAATTTAAATTTTGTTGGAAAAACTTATTTATTCCAATTATTCAACCTAATTGTCCATTTTACTTTATAGCGTTTACATAATCTAATTGAAAATCGAAATTCACTATTTGAACGTGTTTATCCAATTACACCGAAAATTGCTGAACGTCTTTTAGCAAATGGTTACTGTTTTCCAAGTCGATTTGGTCGTTGGTGTCCAGTTACATTACACTTTCAAGATGTATGGCTTCCACCTGTTCCAATGCCGCCGGTGAAAGTTGGCAACCCAAAATATTTGAGTGTATTACCTGGTATTGTCGGTGAAACACTTCCAGTTAATAAGGCAAAAACCTGTGCAGCTATATATAAACAACACATCTATTGGTTTGCTAATCAAAATGCTCGTACAATGTTTATGAAAAATCCTTTAAAGTATACTGATGGTCATCCGGATCCACCGTATAGAATACCTTTAAGATTGAATATTTTAGGTGCTCCAAAAACCGGCAAAACAACTAGTAAGTGAAACATTTATTCTACTACGATTAATTGGTTTATTATATGAAGTTAACTGTCTAAAATATTTCATTTTCATTATTTTTAAGGTGAAGATATACATTAGAGGCTAAGCTTAAAAATATATTAAATGACCTTGAACAAGTAATGCAATGTCTGACATATTAATCGATTACATTATTAACCATGAGACCGTGAACGGAAAGAGTTTTCTAAATAGGTAATCATAATAAAGTGTAGCTATGCTTAACCTGATTATACGAGTAAAAGGGCTGTAAGGGAATACAGCTGACAAGGATTAGTGGATGGATGATTCCGAGTAATCACCATTAAGATATGTGTATGTGAAACAGATAATCGCTTAGTTGGCATCTCTGACTCAATAAGTGAGGTGTATACAAACTCCGCATGTTTCTAGGGTCGTTCAGAAAAGTTGTATTCAAGCCATAGCACTTCACCTAAAATGTGTTCGCTCATCACCCACCATAGTGATCATTCCCATCAAAAATTTCGCTTCTTATCCAGCGTCTGAATGACAGAGCATTCGTTCCATAACCTTAAGGTCATGTGTCCGGTCACTAATATTTCACTTGGAAACCTTGCTTTTGTAATACACTAACAGGCCATTGGATTTTTCCTATATCAGTAATGGCCGCCGAATCACTGCAATTCCCTCAGATATATGTTTTGTGTGTCAGGCTGTGATTTTCACTCATTTCTCGACGGCTGATGACACTACTCAGTCACCTAGGCTGAATTAGGTGGAAGAGGATTCTAACCTAGGATCTATCTCCTAAAAATTAGGTGATTAAGCCAATGTTGAAGTTTAGTATCACTACTTAATCTAGCTTACTATATTATTATGAATTAGGGAGTGAAATGTAATAATTATTAAGTATTTCCCATATTGCTTATCTTACTCAGACGTGTCATTTTCTGCTTTGTCTCCAAATTGACTGAAGTTCATCTTCAGTATACATGGTATGGCTGTAACATGTAATACTTGGCCTACCAACACAATATATTCCCGAGTAACCAATAAATTTTTGTCAATAAAAAAGTGAAGACTAAACAACACTGTCGATTAACATGCAACAGACGACTCACACAGGTTTTCACCATATGGTAGGTTACTTGTAAAATAAGCAGCTTATTCATACGGTTTGTAGGTATCCAAAAGTCATTAAGAAGCAATCAGTGTTATGTACCTAGTCCTGCTAGCCAACTTCTGTCAGTAATGTTTTGCAATGTGATCACTAAGCTGGATGATAACAGTAGAATCCAATCAGCTCCTAAACTAAGTACTAGACTGATTACATTGGTCACTTCCTAGCGACCGATTAATGTATCTTTTTCACTCTTTGAGAAAGATAAGTCTTGAGGCCGGAAAACTCAGTGACGACAGTGAAGATGATGGCTAAAACACTGAGTCAGTGAATTGGGTTCGAATCACTAAGGGGACACCAGTCAATTCTAGGTTGCAGTCTTGTTTACCTGACGAGTATGAATATGCACGAAACCTAGGTGTATGGCTTTCCGCCAATCGCCTCTAACCATCTGACGCTTTCATTCTATTAAATGCTTATCAATCACACATCAAACAACATTAAAATTGTATCATTGTAGTAAGTTGTGTTTTTTGAAATAAAAAGTGTATTGGTTAAATAATTCGTGAAACTGACACTTAACTTTTCTATATAAAGATATTCGCAATAATAAAGTACACAGAACATAACATAAACTTATAATGTAAATAATATGCCTAGAAATAAGCGGTGTTTATCTATCTGTTATTGACATTTATCCTGTGTACATTTGTGTGCTTAAGCTTTTTTTCGTACTAAGGACACTTGTTTTTCTTAAAAAAACAAATACTGTTTTAATTTTCGCGAATTGTTAAGTTGTTTAATTAAATGCTGGGAAGATATTACTGAGGCTGCTGTCGACCATAATTCATCAGTAATTATTGTCTCTTTTAGAGCTCATCCGTTAATAGTTTTGTGTGTGTGTACTGAATGATTAACTGACTGACTAACTAACAAACTCTTGACTATTTGACA